AACCCAAAACAATGAAGAAAATTGTAATAGGCACACACATATTGATAATTACCTTAAATGTAAATGGATTAAATCCTCCAACCAAAAGACATAGACTGGCTTGAATGGATACAGAAACAAGACCTGTATGTATGCTCTCTACAGGAGACCCACTTCAGACCTAGGGACACAAACAGACTGAAAGTGAGAGGATGGAAAAATATATTCCATGCAAATGGAAATCAAAAGAAACCTGGAGTAGCAATTCTTGTATCAGGCAAAATAGACTTTAAAGACTATTTCAAGAGATAATGAAGGACACTACATAATGATCAAGGGATCAATCCAAGAGGAAGATATAACAATTGTAAATATTTATGCACCCAACATAGGAGCACCTGAATACATAAGGTAAGTGCTAACAGCCATAAAAGGGGAAATAGACAGTAACACAATAGTAGTAGGGGACTTTAACACCCCACTTTCACCAATGGACAGATCATTCAAAATGAAAATAAATGTGGAAACACAAACTTTAAATGACATGTTAAACAAGATGGAATTAATTGATATTTGGAAGACATTCCATCTAAAAACAACAGAACACACTTTCTTCTCAAGTGCTCATGGAACATTGTCCAGGATAGATCATATCTTGGGTCACAAATCAAGCCTTGGTATATTTAAGAAAATTGAAATTGTATCAAGTATCTTTTCTGATCACAACACTGTGACACTAGATATCAACAACAGGAAAAAATCTGGAAAAAATACAAACACATGGATGCTAAACCATACACTACTTAATAATCAAGAGATTCCTGAAGAAATCAAAGAGGAAATCAAAAAGACCTATAAACAAATGACAATGAAAACACGATGACACAAAATCTATTGGATGCAGCAAAAGCAGTTCTAAGAGGGAAGTTTATAGCAATAAAATCCTACCTCAAGAAGCAAGAAACATCTCAAATAAACAACCTAACCTTACACCTAAAGTAATTAGAGAAAGAAGAACAAAAACCCCAAAGTTAGCAGAAGGAAAGAAATCATAAATATCAGATCAGAAATAAATGAAAAAGAAATGAAGGAAACAATAGCAAAGATCAATAAAACTAGAAGGTGGTTCTCTGAGAAGATAAACAAAATAGATAAACCATTAGCCAGATTCATAAAGAAAAGAAGGGAGAGGGCTCAAATCAAGAGAATTAGAAACGAAAAAGGAGAAGTAACAGCTGACACTGCAGACATACAAAGGATCATGACAGATTACTACAAGCAACTGTATGTCAATAAAATGGACCACCTGGAAGAAATGGACAAATTCTTAGAAAAGCACAACCTTCCAAGACTGAACCAGGAAGAAATAGAAAATATGAAAAGACCAATCAGAAGCACTGAAATTGAGACTGTGATTAAAAATCTTCCAAAAACCAAAAGCCCAGGACCAGACAGCCTCACTGGCGAATTCTATCAAACATTTGAGAAGAGCTAACACCTATCCTTCTCAAACTCTTCCAAAATAGAGCTGACCTAGGAACACTACCAAACTCATTCTATAAGACCACCATCACCCTGATACCAAAACCAGACAAAGATGTCACAAAGAAAGAAAAGTACAGGGCAATATCTGTGATGAACTTACATGCAAAAATCCTCAACAAAATACTAGCAAACAGAATCCAACAGCACATTACAAGGATCATACACCATGGTCAAGTGGGGTTTATCCCAGGAATTCAAGGATTCTTCAATATATGCAAATCAATCAATGTGATACACCATATTAACACACTGAAGCATAAAAACCATATGATCATCTTAATGGATTCAGAAAACGCTTTTGACAAAATTCAACACTCATTTGTGATAAAAACCCTCCAGAAAGTAGGCATAGAAGGAACTTACCTCAACATAATAAAGGCCATATACGACAGACCCACAGCCAACATCATTCTCAATGGTGGAAAACTGAAACCATTTCCACTAAGATCAGGAACAAGACATGGTTGCCCACTCTCACCGCTATTATTCAACATAGTTTTGGAAGTTTTAGCCACAGCAATCAGAGAAGAAAAAGAAAAACTAGGAATCGAAATCAGAAAGGAAATAAAACTGTCACTGTTTGCAGATGACATGATCCTATATGTAGAGAATCCTAAAGATGCTACCAAAAAATTACTAGAGCTAATCAATGAGTTTGGTAAAGTAGCAGGATACAAAATTAATGCACAGAAATCTCTTGCATTCCTATGCACTAATGATGCAATATCTGAAAGAGAAGTTAAGGAAACACTCCCATTTACCACTGCAACAAAAAGAATAAAATTCCTAGGAATAAACCTACCTAAGGAGACAAAAGACCTTTATGCAAAGAACTATAAGACGCTGATGAAAGAAATTAAAGATGATACAAACAGCTGGAGAGATATACTATGTTCTTGGATTGGAAGAATCAACATTGTGAAAATGACTATTCTACCCAAGCAATCTACAGATTCCATGCAATCCCTGTCAAATTACCGATGGCATTTTCCACAGAACTAGAACAGAAAATTTCACAATTTGTATGGAAACACAAAAGACCCTCAATAACTAAACCAATCTTGAGAAACCAAAACAGAGCTGGAGGAATCAGGCTCCCTGACTTCAGACTATACTACAAAACTACAGTAATCAAGACTGTATGGTCCTGGCATAAAAACAGAAATGTAGATCAATGGAACAGGATAGAAAGCCCAGAGATAAACCCACACACATGTGGTCACCTTATTTTTGACAAAAGAGGCAAGAATATACAATGGAGAAAAGACAGCCTCTTCAATAAGTGGTTCTGGGAAAACTGGACAGCTACATGTAAAAGAATGACATTAGAACACTCCCTAACACTATACACAAAAATAAACTGAAAATGGATTAAAGACCTAAATGTTAGGCCAGACATTAGAAAACTCTTAAAGGAAAACACAGGTAGAACTCTCTATGATATAAATCACAGCAAGATTCTTTTTGACCCACCTCCTAGAGAAATGGAAGTAAAAATAAAAATAGACACATGGGACACAATGAAACAAAAGCTTTTGCACAGCAAAGGAAAACATAAACAAGACAAAAAGACAACCCTCAGAATGGGAGAAAATATTTTCAAATGAAGCAACTGACAAAACATTAATCTCCAAAATTTACAAGCAGCACAGCAGCTCAATATCTAAAAAACAAAAAACCCAATCCAAAACTGGGCAGAAGACCTAAATAGACATTTCTCCAAAGAAGATATACAGATTGCCAACAAACACATGAAAGATTGCTCAACATCACTAATCATTAGAGAAATGCAAATCAAAACTACAATGAGGTAGCACCTCACACAGGTCAGAATGGCCATCTTCAAAAAATCTACAAACAATAAATGCTGGAGTGGGTGTGGAGAAAAGGGAACCCTCTTACACTCTTGGTGGTAGTGTAAATTGATACAGCCACTATGGAGAACTTTATGGAGGGTCCTTAGAAAACTAAAAATAGAACTACCATATGACCCAGCAATCCCACTACTGGGCATATTCCCTGAGAAAACCATAATTCAAAGACACTCATGTACCAAATTGTCATTGCAGCTCTATTTACAATAGGCAGGACATGGAAGCAACCTCAATGTCCATCGATAGATGAATGGATAAAGAAGATGTGGCCCATATATACAATGGAATATTACTCAGCCATAAAAAGAAATGAAATTGAGTTATTTGTAATGAGGTGGATGGACTTAGAGTCTGTCATACAGAGTACAGTAAGTCAGAAAGAGAAAAACAAATACCAAATGCTAACACATATATATGGAATCTAAATAAAAAAAGTGGTCATGAAGAACCTAGGAGCAGGACCAGAAGAAAGATGCAGATGTACAGAATCGACTTTAGGACATGGGGAGGAGGAAGGGTAACCCTGGGATGAAGTGTGAGAGTGGCATGAACTTATATATACTACCAAATGTAAAATAGATAGCTAGCGGGAAGCAGCCACATAGCACAGGGAGATCAGCTCAGTGCTTTGTGACCACCTAGAGGGGTGGGATAGGGAGAGTGGGAGGGAGATAAAAGAGGGAGGAGATATGGGGATATATGTATATGTACAGCTGATTCACTTTGTTATAAAGCAGAAACTAACACACCATTATAAAGCAATTACACTTCAATAAAAATGTTAAAAAAAAGTAGAAGGGCAGATATGAAAGTTAAGTAATAAATTAATATTTCTGTTTATGTCTAAATTTCCCATATCATATTTGATTATTTGGTTACTTTATATTGCTCTCTAATTGTCCTTCAGAGTTTTGCTTTAACAAGTCATCTTATCCCCAAACAGTGGCTGTTCCATTTGCCATTTCATATATCACAAGAATTCTGTGGGTTAGGAATTCGAACCTGGCTTGGCTAGACATCCATTTAGGTTACCCAATGATAATACTCAACTGACAGATGGGTTGATCTGAAGGATCCAAAAAAGTTTTACTCACATAGTGGAGCTTTGGCAGGATAGCTAGAAGGCTGGGCTCAGCTGGGACTGTCAACTGGAGCATCTGTACATGGTCTCACCAGGATGACAATCTCAGGGTGGTAAGAGTTCTTATATGGCGACTGGCAAATATCCTAAGAGAACCAGGTGGAAGCAGCACAGCCTTTTCTTATCTAGGTTTGGAAGTCATGCAGTCACTTCCTCCACATTCTATTGATTACAAAATAGTACTATGCCTAGCCCAGTTTCAAGAGGAGGGCAATTGGATTCCACCTCTTGAAGGGGAAGTGGCAAGAACATACTTTTGAGGAACGTGTAGAGTGGGAGATATCATTGTGGCCATCTTTGACCGATATAATCTGCACTGGTGATACAAGTTATACATAAACTTTTGTCATACAGGTGATAAGGGTAGAGACCCCTGAAAAGAGATTCCCACGTTCAAACTCAAAAGAACTGTAAATTCTATTTGTGATAAGACATTAAATGTATACATCTTTTTATTTTAGGAGAGTCTAGAAGATCCACAATGGAAAGTTTATATCAAACCTCAGAGTTTTCAGAAGAGGACCTCAGTGGGTATGATAAATCTAGTTAAACTTTCTATTAAGTATCGACATTATGCAAGATACTAAGTATAATGTAATTCTCCAAACACAAAAAAGTAACTTCGTCTAACACTTGATAAGCTAATACTGAAACACTGGTTAAAAAAAAAAAAAGAAAGAAATCATAGAGGTACTTTTAAATAATACATAAGGTTAAGTACTTTTAAGCTATGTCTAAAAATTACAGAATACAAAATCCAGTCGACCCTTGAACAACATGGAGGTTAGGGATGCCAACCCTCCCCACAGTCAAAAATATGCATATAACCTATATTAAGCCCTCCGTATACATATTTGAATCTGCAAATGCAGATTCAACCAGCCACTGATTGTATAGTACTGTAGTATTTACTATTGAAAAAAGTCTGCATGTAAGTAGACTCCCACAGTTCAAAACCATGTTATTCAAGGCCAATTGAAATATCTTAAAAGCAAGGTTTTTTTGGGCTTTTTATTTATTTTTTGCTTTTTAGTCCAATATAAAATTTAATTTTATAATTTATTTTATTTCAGATTTGCAGATAATCAAAAAAATTAGACTTAAACCAACTTTTGACTCAACAATAAATCAGGAAGTAATTTATCATGTCACTTCAGTCTTCAATACCTGTAATATGAGTATGTTACAAATAATACAGTTATAATAAAACTATGACTATATTTTCATTGGATTTTGTATTATAATTTGCTACTACAAATTTAAAACATCTAAATCCATGAAAATTAAATATATCCCAAATGCTTAGAAATATCAATAATTATCCATAAGCTAAACTGTAAAATTTTCCTTTTATCCATTATTCTACCAGAAATAGTGCTATTATACTAAATCTTAGCCAAAAGGCTGAGAAGCAATAGAAATAATGCTATTATAGAATCAAAATTTGGTTGTGTCTAATGAGAAAATTCTTTTAAGCTTAAGGAAGTTTATGCTGAATAAAGGTAGGAAAAGATTTACTAAAATTCCTGGGAACCTTTTCAACATATGTAAAAGGATTATAACAAATAGAGACTATCATACTGATAAGTACTGCTCAAAACAGTCTGCTTCACCCAGGTAAAGGAAAACTCTGTTTCCTCTATTTGCCCCACTTCTGCCACCAAATGTGTGAGTTTTTCCACTCCAGTTCTCAGCAGACACTGACTGGGTGTCTTACAATTTAACTTAATTCTGACACTAACTGCCAGGAGTTGGCACAGACCACAGATTAAGGGATCAGGTCCGTAAGACTGTCCCCCACTTCATAGGCCAATTGCAAATCCCAGCTTGTCACCTGTACTTCTGGCTGAGTTGGCTACAAACTGAGGATTCCCACAACTCCCTTCTCAGCTTCAATAATTTGCTATAACAACTCACAGAACTCAGGGAAGAAGATACTTACACTTGCCTGTTTATTATAAAGAGTATAATAAAAGATATAGGTGAACAGAAAAATAGAAGTATAGGGCAAGGCATGGGATAAGGGGAACAGAGCTTCCATGCCCTCCCAGGGTGTAGCTCCCTCTGAGCACCTCAGTTCATTCACCAACATAGATGCTCCCCAAATCCTTTCAGTTGTTTTTTATGGAGGCTTTATTACCTAGATATGATTGGTTAAATCATTGACAATTAGTGATTAACTCAACCTCCAGCCTCTCTCCCCAGAGGTCAGGACATAGGGTGGAAAGTTTCAACCCTCTAGTCACATGGTTGACTCCCTTGACCACTAGCCCCTCATTTTATGGGCTTTCCAAAAAGTCACTTTATTAAAATAAACCAAGTTGTGGTTGAAAAGTTCTTGTTATTAATGACAAAACATGCTCCTTTTGCCTTTATTCATCTCTCCAGAGCTGCTTAAGGTACCAGGGACAAAAAGCAAATATTAATTTATTGTATAATATTAGGAGTTCTGTGCCAGAAACCAGAGAGGAAGACCACATATATATTTCTTATTACAACATTACACTGTGTAAAAGTATATTTTATGATACTTTTAGCTGATAGTATATAATGTATCCATACCAATTTTAAAACACTATGAAAATCCTTTAGTCTTAGGCCCCTCCCCTAATGTGACTTACAAAATGAGAGGACATAGCTGAAATAATTATGTGTATGATTTCTAGAGATTTGCAGGTCTAGGGGAATCCATAAATGAAATTCTTTACCAAAAATAAAGACTTTTACTCCCACTTAACCTTAGTCAATATACACTTTAATTTTGGTTCTTTTTAATTCCTCATGATTAAAGTTTCGGGACTAACCCTAGAACACTGCAGTGTGGGGTCATACAGCTTTCACATAATAGTGATGCATCCACACCCTGCTCAAGGTGATGATTCAGTGCAAATACCAAAAACTGTAGATGGGGTAAGTGGAAAAATAGAAGAATTATCCTTTGTTGTTTATTGAATCAATAAACCCAATTTCCACAGCATCTCTGATTCCTGAAATTTTTTTTTTTTGCCATTCCCACAGACTTCTATGTTTTGTTTTGCCCAAGAAGTAGAATTAAAGTGTGTATAAATTATAACTCAATAAATCTGACGTTTAAAAAAAGCAAATGACTATGGAGTAAATTCAGTCTGATCACAGTGTTATTTAAATACAGTTCTGTGTATTCATGGTTATGTGTATATATGTGTATAGAAAAAGCTCTTAAATGTTCTAAATTGAAGTGTGAACAGTGATTATCTCTAGGGAATGGAAAAGGGGGAATAATTTTAATTTTATACATGTATTGATTTAAAATTTTCCACGTACATGACTATATATTGTGTGTAGGTGTTTTAACAATAAAAAATATTAAAGACAAAAAACATTCTGCCACCATGGTGTAAAAGTGATTCCTTAACCATTTTCATTTCAAATACTCCATCTCATCTCACTCTATTTAAAAAGTGAGATTAACCATGAGAAAACTTTTTTTTTCCTTTTATAAGAACAATTCTAGCTTTGAAGTTCTAAATCCAAATAACACATCTTATTTTTTTTCCTCTGAAACTGTTTCTGTAATAACAGCATTTTCTTATAGTGTCTTACTAAATTAATTTTAAGATACCTTAAAAAGATGTTTGGAAATTTTTGTGGGAATATTTTTAATCAAAATGCCCACATCTTTGAAAACACTTCAGGAAATTAGATGTATCCAACATAAACCTGTCGGGAAGGTCAACAGAAAAAAGAATTTACAATCAAATGCTAAACAGCCACACTGCTATCACTTCTGATAGATTTAATCAAAAGGTTTCTTCGGCAGTTTCTCCTTTAATTTCAGTTTGAGTCATTTTTATTTGTGAAACTGAAAACAAATCTGAAAACAAAATCAAGGTTTTATGATGACAGCTGCAAATCAAAATTGCACCAAATGCTAGTTCTTATCTATAAAAGGTCCTTTCATAAATAATGCAGAGAGGACCACTCACTGAGAAGGTATAAGTATTTACAATATTCTTGAATTCCTTTTTTATCAAAATGACAGTGCCTAAAATGCAACATTCCCTAATGTACACAATTACTTGAGCTTTCAGTTTCTCCTTTAAAAAATTGCTATGATATCATCATGCCTTTTCAGTTTTTCATACTTTCTAATAAGGTTCCCTAAAGTGGTAAAAAAAAAATTGTATATCAAGTTACAGTAAACAAATATCTTTGTTCCCCCCACATTTTAGGTAACACTGATAGTATCCTGGCGTAGATATGCACTGATCTAATTTTTAAGGGACCCTTTATCTTTATTCTCTCCCCTTACTTCTTCCCTTCTAGGGGCTTTCCTTTCCTCTCATAGGATAGTGATAACATATCTGCACAGGAATGGTGTTATATATAGAAATGTAGAAGATATATTTGGTTGACTTTCAAGAGCCTCATTTAATGGTGAAACATACGGAGTACTTAGAAAAAAGAAATGGACATAATTTCCATTAAGGTGAAAAGAATTAGTGCCTTCTTTCCAAAGTTACTATACCCAGATACTTTTTCAAAGAATGTATTATATTATCATTATTACTAACTGGTATTTATCTCTTCTCCCCACCACCCTCACACATACACACATACCACAGAAATTATAAAATGTGCCCTGGAGAGTAATGTGGCCATGCAATTATTTAGAGATTCTTATTTTTTTTAAAAGATGACCCAAATTGACTGAAAATCAAAGAAAGAAAAAGATTCAACTGCTCTACATTTAATTAATACTTCACTAAAAATTGCTTTGCTTTACAAATCTCTTGTTTCTAACTTCTTAAGCTCTATCTGAAATAAGCATTTCTTCATAAAATCATACCCATAAACTTCATGAAATTGCAATTGATTATATTGCTATCTCAAAATTTTTGAGTATATATACAATAACTTTATATTTTATATAATTATATATTATATATGTTTATATAAATATGAATTGTCTCAGTAGTTTAAGAAAACATTTTCATTGTTATTTGGACAATCTAATAAAATTAACCAGGGTGAATAAATTTGGCATCAGAGAACAATTAGCTTGTCACCACTTTTAATCCCTAAACTTTAAAACATGTTCTCCACCCACTAGTGGCCAAAAAAATGCAAATTAAAACAAAAATGTAATCCTAACATTTTACCTATCATATGATCAAAATTTTAAAAGAATAAAAATCACCAGTGTTCCAATGCTCTGTAAAATAAAGTGGTAAAAAAAAAAGTTTGATCTAAATGCAATTTGACAGCAGATGCCAAAAGCCTTTAAAAATTTTTGACCCTGCAATTTCATCTCTAAGAATTTATCTCAGGAAATAATCAGACAAGTGAGAAATGTTGAAGGTGCAAAACTGCTTATTGAATTTCCTTTCTCATGCTGGCATAATAACAAACGAACCAAACCAAGATTCAACCTAAATACCCAATAATAAGTAATTGGTCAAATAAGTTTTAGTACCTTCATACTAGGTATATTAGTCTTCTGTTGTTGCTGCAACAATTTACTGCAAAGTTAGCATTTATATTTACATTTATATTACTGAATATGCATAGAAGCAATTCCTGAAAGATACACCACAAAATGTTAACAGTTATTTCTAAAATGTAGAATTTTAGAAAAAAAGTCAAAGAAACATATAGAACATGGAGTCCGATTTAGCTCTTTCTTGTGACAAATGAGATAACACACTGCCCTCTTCTCAAACTATCCCAATCAAGATTTAATGAAGGTTTCTGGACCTGGTCTGGAAAAGAAATGCTCAAGTAAAGCCTGAAATCTCCTCAGGCATATGTCACAAAGGCACCAAGAGGGACACCCAGCACCTCCTGAGGCGGGAGAGGTAACGAGCTCAGGGGCTCAGCAGGAGGAGGACCTTCAAGATGGCAGAGGAGTAAGACATGGAGATCACCTTCCTCCCCACAAACACATCAAAAATACATCTACATGTGGGAGAGCTTCTAGAGAACACCTACTGAACACTGACAGAAGACCTCAGACTTCCCAAAAGGCAAGAAAATCCCCAGGTACCTGGCCATATGGCTGACAGGTCCTGGTGCTCTGACTGGATGTCAGGCCTGAGCCTCTGAGGTGGAAGAGCTGAGTTCTGGATATTGGTCCACCAGAGACCTCCCAGCCACACGTAATATCAATCGGCGAGAGCTCTCCAAGAGATGTCCTTCTCAATGCTAAGACCCAGCTCCAGTCAATGACCAGCAAGCTCCAGTGCTGGACTCCCCATGCCAAACAACTAGCAAGACAGACACACAACCCAACCTATTAGCATAGAGGCTGCCTAAAATCATAATAAGTTCACAGACCCCAAAACACACCATCAGACGTGGTCCTGCCCACCAGAAAGATAAGATCCAGCCTTATCCACCAGAACACAGAAACAAGTCCCCTCCACCAGGAAGCCTATACAACCAACTGAACCAATCTTACCCACTGGGGACAGATACCAAAAACAATGAGAACTACGAACCTGCAGCCTGCGAAAAGGAGATCCCAAACACAGTAAGTTAAGTAAAATGAAAGGACAGAGAAATACACAGCAGATGAAGGAGCAAGGTAAAAACCCACCAGACCAAACAAATGAAGAGGAAATAGATAGTCTACCTGAAAAATAATTCAGAATAATGATAGTAAAGATGATACAAACTCTTGGAAACAGAATGGAGAAAATAAAAAAAAAAATTTAACAAGGACCTAGAAGAACTAAAGAGCAAACAAACAATGATGAACAGCACAATAAATGAAAATAAAAATTCTCTAGAAGGAATTAAGAGCAGAATAACTGAGGCAGAAGAACGGATAAGTGACCTGGAAGATAAAACAGTGGAAATAACTACTTCACAGCACAATAATGAAAAAAGAATGAAAAGAATTGAGGACAGTCTCAGAGACCTCTGAGACAACATTAAATGCACCAACATTCAAATTATAGGAATCCCAGAAGAAGAGAAAAAGAAAGGGACTGAAAAAATATTTGAAGAGATCATAATAGAAAACTTCCCTAATGGGGGAAAGGAAAAAGTCAATCAAGTCCAGGAAGCATAGAGAGTCCCATACAGGATAAATCCAAGGAGAAACCCACCAAGACATATATTAATCAAATTATCAAAAATTAACTACAAAGAAAAAATATTATAAGCAGCAAGGGAAAAGCAACAAATAACATACAATGGAATCCCCATAAAGTTAACAGCTGATCTTTCAGCAGAAACTCTGCAAGCCAGAAGGGTGTAGCAGGACATATTTAAAGTCATGAAAGGGAAAAAACTACAACCAAGATTACCCTACCCAGAAAGGATCTCATTCAGATTCGACAGAGAAATTAAAAGCTTTACAGACAAGCAAAAGCTAACAGAATTCAGCACCACCAAACCAATTTTACAACAAATGCTAAAGGAACTTCTCTAGACAGGAAACACAAGAGAAGGAAAAGACCTACAATAACAAACCCAAAACAGTTAAG